GGTGTTCTGCTGTCTCCTTGTCTTTTTCATCCCGCAGCTGTTTCCCCAGGGTCTTCAACACTTCTCCTTTGTCAAATTTCACCTCACCATCAACCACGTCACTGCCTGCCAGCCTATCAGCCTCCTCATTGCCTTTCACTCCAGAGTGCCCAGGACAGAATATCCACGTGATGGCTCTAAGTTGTATTGGGTTCATCCATTCGCTCAGAAGAAGCCCTTTCTCAACCCTTTGCAAGATGCTCTGGGAGTCCGTGACAATGATGAGATGAGTTGTTCTTGGTCTTGTTTTATGAAGCCACCCAAGCGCTCTTGTTACGGCCTCAATCTCCATTTTCATGCTTGAAGTTGTTCTTTCTATGGCCCCTGACATGCCATGAATCTTTTTTCCCCCCACTGTACACCACAAAACCCCATCCACTTCTCTCACCCCTCCTGACTGATCCATCCGTATAGATCACTGGGTCCTCTGTATTAGAATGCTCCTCAATTAACTGTCGTATATCATTGTCGTTAATGACAGCAGCACATTCCCGTCTTTAACGACGCTTAATGATGTGAACGTTGGCCAGGCTTTTGCAATCTGGGCTCAGTTCAAACCACTCCTTTCCACAGCATATTCCATCGATGCCACAAACTTTCCTCAAGGAGTCTTCGGCTTCTGCCATCCATGGGCTGCCCTGTTTGATCCTGTTTCCTTTGATGCTGCCCAGGTTGTCATGCAAAGAGTACCTCGGGTCTCCAAAACATTCAAGTACAGCTTTGCCTGTGCCACCTTATGCCTCACTCTGATGCTGGCCAGGTCAAGGATGTATCTCATACAGACAATATGGGTGTCCTTTGTGCAACCTAGAACGGCCCTCATAGCTGCATTCTGTACTCTCTCCAACCTGTCTATCTGAGTCTTGGACAGGGAGAGGATGCCCAGCCCATAGTCTATGACTGACAGAACCACCAGCTGCATTCTGTACTCTCTCCAACCTGTCTATCTGAGTGTTGGACAGGGAGAGGATGCCCAGCCCATAGTCTATGACTGACAGAACCACCAGCTGCATTAGGAGAAAAAGAACTCTCTGTTGAATTCCCGCTGAAGCCAAGGTCTTCACAACATTGATGCCCTTCTGAGCTCTGACAGCAACATTGTCAATATGTCCTCGGAACGAAAGTGCCCTGTGTGTTCAGAGTGATTCCCAGGTACTTCAGCTCATGCTGTCTGTCTGTGAGAAAGTGGTCAAACACAATTGGAGGCGTAGGATCTTTCACAATACGGTTGTTGAGTGAGCACCAGATGACCTGTGCTTTGTCTGGATTGATGACCGCATTCTATTCCTCACACCAATCTGCGACCTTGCTCAGCCTGTCCTGTAGCATCCGTCCAACCGCTAGCCTATCACGACCTTGTCCGTAGACCATCACATCATCTGCAAATGTGAGGATTCTTCCTGCTCCACTTACACCGATCCTGGCAATTTTGGATGTATATATGTTGAACAGAACCGGTGATAATGCTGATCCTTGTGGCAGTCCTGAGGCAATCACTACTGGGTCTGACATCCATCGCCCACTTTTCAGCACCACCTTCCTCTCAAACAGAGCTTCGGAGATCCATTGTATCAACCAGGGGTCAACATCCATTTCCATCAGGAGATCCATGAGCTTGCCGTAATCAACTCGGTTGTAAGCATCCTCTAGGTCTATAGCAGCCATTGCTGTCTCCTCCTTTCTCTGGAACCCTTCAAATACATCAAAGGCTAACACAGCCGTGTTTGTGCAGGTGTCTTTCCCTGGTCTGTAGCTTCCAAGGCCGTCTGGGGGGAGCTTCTTCCTCTCTAGGTAAATTGCCAGCCTTTTGGCCACAATCTTTTCCAGGATCTTTCCATACGTGTTCTGCATTGTGATGATTCTGTATCCCTTGATGTTGGAGTGGTCTTTGCCTGGTTTAGGAAGAAGCATGAGGTAGCTGTGTAGCCACTCCTCTGGGATCTTGCCTTTGGCCAGACTCTCGTTGAAGTCCTCCACCATGCCCTACAGATCTTTTTCATCTGTATCCTTAAAATGGTTGTATCTCACCCCATCAGGCCCTGCTGCACTATCTTTCGTTCCACATATGACCCGTTTCACTTCCTGTATTGTGACACCCTCTCCATACTGCACCTCTGGCACAGCAGTCTTCATAAATGCCCTGATGTTAGCACGCTCCTCCATGTTGCCTTGGTGAGTCTGCTTGATGTACCCCTCAAGGAAAGCCCGGCCTTTTGCTTCATCTGTCTCCAGTAGCCTATCGTTCTCATCTTTAACAGACAGAGAGCCAGCGTCAGTCCTTAATCCCTTCATTTTTTTCTGTGCAATTTCCAGAACTTGTGTAGTGTGTAGCGCCTTCTCTGA